TGACATTCAACAGCCTTCGCTCAAAGCACCAGAGTCTCCCTTCGTCTGTCCCAATAGCATGGACTGCAGACTCACACAGCCAGCTGCCTCACCCTAAAAAATTGAGTTACAGCTTCTTCAGATTTGTTCCTTTCCTGTGTTCCCTACTTAGGGTGTCACCCAGCCCTACCCCAGAATGACTGATGGACAAGTAGTTTAGAAGTTAGCAGGTCGGTTCTCCAGCTTCTGTGCCACCCTCCTCTTCTATCCAAATTGTGGGCTCACCCTGACTGTCCAACACCTCAGCTGCCTTCAGTGTCCTGAGATCTCAGTCTGTGCTTGTTTTTATTCACAGGTCAGTGGGCTACTTGCTGGGGGAGCAAATGGGAATGTCCACTCACTTGGTCATCTTGCTCTGCCCTTGCTCCTACTGTTCTTTTTCAGGATTGCTCTATTTGGGGCCCCTTGTCATTCCATATACATTTGAGGATTGGCCAGTTCGTTTCTGCAAAGAAGGCTATTGGAATTTTGATAGATATTGCTTTGGGTGGTATTTACATCTTAACACTATTAAGTCTTAGAATCCATAAACATGCAATGTTCTTCCATTTATTTCGGTTTTTGTCTTTTGTTTGGGTTTTTTTTTTTTTTTCATTTTAATAATGGTTTGTAGTTTTCAGTGTATACAAGTCTTTCATTTTCCTGACTTAAATATATTTCTAGATACTTTATTTTTTGAGGTGATATTGTCAATGTAATTATTGCCTTAATTTTCTTTTCAGAATGTTCATTGCTGATGTGTAGAAGCCCACCTGCTTTTTTTTTTTTTTTAATGTTTTGAGATAGTCTTGTTTGGTAGCCCTTTTACTTTCTTCTCCCCCATATTCCTGGTGTACATTACTCTCATCATGACTGTTGGAGTTGCCTTCCTGCTTCCATGTTCCACTATGGGTCTTCTATCAACTTATTGCTTGCCTCTGCAGATCCATGGTTACTCACTAATTCTTGACTCACGCACAGATTCCTTACCTTAGCAAACTAGTGCTGGCCACAGTTTAGATCTCCCTGCCTGGCCTTATCCCCAACTCCTACTTTCATGTTCCCTTTTGCCAGTCAATCAAGACTGCTAACTTTGCTCCATATGTACTTTCTGCGTTCATATCTCAATTTGTTCTGTTGGCCTGGAAATGAACTCTCATCTCTGCTGGTTGAACCCTACCTAAATCCTGGAGACCCAGCTACTTTATGAAACTTTGCTAATCACAGAAGCTTGAAACAGCTTTTTCTGAACTCCTGCAACACTTTGTACCTCTCCCAAGGCATCTGGCCATGTCTTATTTTTACTATAGGAGTATAGCTTCCTTATGAGGCAAAGAGCACCTTTCATCCAATTTAGGAGGGGGCTTCAAAGAGTTTGTGGAAAAATTGCATTATCATGTACTTCCATTTTTTTCCCATGAATTTTTCTAAGCACTCACATATTTCCTTGATGATACCTAACATATTTCCTTTATGAATAATGAAAATGTATTGAATGAATGAGAGAAAGAATTTTAAGAATTAAAATCAAATAGTATCACTTTTATACTTTTTATGTCTGATTTTTATAGTTCCTTCTATGAGATGGCTTCCAAAAGTTCATGGAAATATTCCATTATCTTTTAATTCTAGTTTTCCATGAACTTTCTGAAGCTCCCATGTAGATCTAATTGAAATAGATGTGTGAATATTTGTAATGAAATGGAGACTTTGCAGTGCAGGCAGTCCCCAACTTATGACATATTCTAGTTTTAACAAATTGCACTTACAACCTGGGTTTGTTTGTTTGTTTGTGTTTTTTGTACATTTTAGCAGTAATGTGTACTACATACAATGTTATATACATACAAAATATATATATACATACAAAATATATCTGTGAGTTTTTGTGCAATGTTTCTAGCCCCCAAAGACTAAGACTGTGTTTATAAAGATAATGAAATTAAAAGGCAATAATAATGAGTATTTGACTGGCTTCAGAGTTGAATTATGGCAGAGTCACCAAAATGCAACCCCATCGTAAATAGGGCAGTGAAATTAGGTAAACAGAACCTCCCATTTCCACTTGATATCCGTGAGTATCTGAGCAGTGTTAGTCAATGCCCAAACCCACGGGTACATACATAATCACTGGCGGTAACAGCATGGGGGTTAGGGGAGTGACTAGACCACTCCTATTGTAGTTAAGTGCCTTCAAGTCGGTTCTGACTCATAGCGACCCTGTGTAGGGTTTCCAAGGAGCAGCTGGTGGATTTGAACTTCCAACCTTATGGTTCACAGTCCAGTGCTGATCCTACAGTGTCACACCAGGAGTCCCAGAATGCTTCTAGGCTTCCTGAATATCTTTTTATAAATTTCCTCTCAGTAATTGGATTCCTTACATATCTAATTCAGTTACATACATCTAACTGCCCATAATATATAGATGCTTTTTAACATAGACCAAACATCACAAATACCCAACTGACGATGCATGTAGTAAGAAGTGTTATGTTTTTCTCCCTCTTAGCTTTTTGCTGTGAACAAAACCCAAATGTGTCTGAATTTTCACAATTCAAAGAAAACATCTGTGCTATCATTGTGGAAACAAATAGCTGCCAGGTGAAATCTGACAGCATATTCCTTGGTGGCATTCACTCATTAAAAGCTGTGTACACAGAGTGGACAGCTGTCTGAAACTGAGCTCATATGCAAATGTAAATGCTCCTCAATTAAAGCTACATTGTATATATTAAATGTTTCTTCAGAGTCCATGGAATTTTCAGGAAAAATATAGTTGAGCTTGACCTTAAGAACCATGCCTCATTATCATTTTGTCATTTCTAGCTACCAGTCTCTCCAAAGAAAACAACTTTCTTGTTTCTTTTAGTTGTGTGTGTGCCATGAGCTTTATTCCCCATTTGATGCTATAAAAAAAATTTTTTAAAAAAAAGCTAACATAGTTCCAAACTCTGCTGCTATTTTCCTTTTCCTTTTTTTACTTCCTGTAACTAATATTTAAACATCAAAGATACTCGGTTACTTTTATGTTGTGAATGTACTTTAGACCACATTTCCCCTAAAGGTATATACTGTCCAGGATTTTTCTGTTTGGTTTTTCTTTGTTTGTTCTTAGCCTTCTTTTTTAGAAGTCCTACGAATGATAGAGGAGAAAGATCAGGCTTTCTACTCCCATAAAGATTTACACCCTCGGAAACCCTGTACAGGGTCGCTATGGGTCGGAACCAACTCGACGGCACTTAACAACAACAATGAATGATACCCTTCTGATTCATATCATTGATTGTTGTATAGAGATCTACAATAGGGCCTTATTAATAGCAGGAAGACTGTTCCCCATACTTACAAAAACTTTAAGTATTTTCAAAGCCCAGTTTATTCGGCTACCAAAAATCACATTGGACTCTCCCTAACGCTAATGGAATTCCTGGTGATTCTAGCAGTGAGCAGCTGCTGACTAGAAGGCTGGAGGTTTGAGTCCACCCAGAAACTCCTTTGAAGGAAAGCCAGGCATCTTATTTTTTTCTTTTTTAAATGAGCCATTGAAAACCCCTACAGAGCACAGTTCTTTTCTGATGCCCATAGAGTTACCATGAGTTGGAATCAACTTAACAGCTCCTCATACTGGCACCTAATGTTAAAAACAAAACCTGTAGTGTATATATATTTTAAGGATCTATTATATATATATGGAGTTCTGGTGTGGTACTACAGGATAAGCCCTGGACTGCTAAGTGAAAGGTCAGCAGTTCGAATCTACCAGCTGCTTCTCAGAAACCCTAAACAGGATCACTGTGAGTTGTAACCCATTCAATGGCACTATTAACAACATCGGGCTGCAAACCTTAAGGTCAGCGGTTCGAAACTACCAGCCGCTCCGCGGGAGAAAGATGAGGCTTTCTACTCCCGTAAAGATTTACACCCTCAGAAACCCTGTACAGGGTCGCTATGGGTCGGAACCGACTCAATGGCATTTAACAACAAATATGAAGGAAGATATTAAATTGTTTGTATGTAATATATTTTTTCCTAAAATGCTGATTCTATTTACAGATCATACAGAACATTGCTTATTTTAAACATGTAGCCTGAAAAAGCAGTAATTATTATGTGTTGTTTAGAGTAAGAGTGGAAAAAAATAAGTATTGGACTCACCATGAAAGAAATACAACTGGAACCCAAAGTTATGACTCAGAATAAGTAAATAAAAATATGGACCATTAGATTCAATGGGTAAAAGATACAATAAATGCTTTTTTTTTTTAAGTAGGAAATTGAAAGATGTTTTCTTTCGTATTCAAAAAGTTAGAGGTATTTCTAATTTGATACATGCAATTGTCTCTTGTTTTTGTTGTTAAATGCTGTTGAGTTGGTTCTGACTCACAGCAACCCTGTATAGGATTTCCAAAGAGTGGTTGGTGATTTGAACTCCTGACCTTGCATTTAGCAGTCTAGTGCTTATCCTACAGAACCATACCAGGACTCTTAAAGAGCATATATTAAATGCAGTAAATTGTCCAACTGCTATTTTCTTTATCAAAATAAAATATAAAGAATGGCAATGGAGTGTCAAAAACAATGCCACAAACCAAATTTATCATTAATGACTGTCTAGCCATAAGGAAGATTGAATCATCAGCCAAGACCAATGTTCTTTGATCTCACGTTTCAACTTTCTTGTCCTCCAGATGAATGAAATGGTCTTTTCTCAAATGTTCAACAGACCATTTACCATTTGATAGGACAATTATTTTTAAGAAGGTTTAAAATGTGATCTGAAAAACCACATTGACTCTATGTGGCATATGTGCTATTCTTAGCCTGGTTGAATAAGCTGGAAATGGATGAATAATGCAGGTTAGAAAGAAAACAGATGCTAAATATTACAAATAAGAAGGTTTTCCAGCAGTAAGACTTTCTTTTTAGTACTAGATTTTTGTTGGCACTTGTGGCATTATGACGATTATTGTTTTTCCTTCCAGCTGTTACACATCTGTATTGAAGGTTGGGGCAATTGGCGTTGGTCAGAACCCTTCAGCGTGGACCATGCCGGAACTTTTATTAGAACAATTCAATACAAGGGTCGAACTGCTTCACTTATCATCAAGGTTCAGCAACTCAGTGGAGTGCAAAAACAGGTATGTCTCCTTGTGTTCACACTGCAGACAACTCTTAATTTGATGTTATGCAGGGGAAACAAAGGAAAGCATTCATAATAATTTTAAACACTCACTGTGATTACGCCTGCTCGTGCCTATAGTGCCAGGCACCAAAACACTTAATAAGTGCTTGCCGGTGATTCTGATGCTGGTGGTGGCATCAAACCCTTGTCCCATAGTCTTTTACAAGAGCTGCTAACGAGCAGTAAAATTTACTGATTTTCGCCTCACCTCTTCTCCCTGTCACCACCTACCGTCTGGTGGAGGTGCTAATGAGCTGTGAAATGGACAAAAGGCCTTTATTGAGAAGGAAAAGAAGCCCAGGACAGTGGGGACTCTGGATAGCCCAACAGTGGATACCCAAGACTTGATTCTCAGAGCTGTAAGAATAATCAGTGTAGAAGTGTGGTGGGACTTTCCCAGGACAGAGTGGGCCTAGGTCTCCAGCAAGATTTTCTTTTCCTCAGAGTTAATATGAACTCTAGTAAAAATGCATTGCAGTCTAGCTCTTGGCATATAAAACATCAACTCTCAGCACATATTTTTACGTATTTTATAAAACTTCCTTTTGGCTGTTTTTGAAGTTCTAAAATGGCAAAGGGGAAAAAAGTATCTGACACTTTTTTGTGTGTTCTTAAGATGTGAAAATGTGGTTTTTAAACGATGTTTTCAAGCGTGGAGCATATGACAAGAGTAGAATGGGGAAAAAAGGAAGTATTTAACTGCTAAAACGGACTTCACTGAACATATAATAACTGGATTTGTCATAAGAGTTTTTCACATATACATCTGCATCTGGATTGTAACAATCTATCCAGTGCTTATGTGAACTGAGGATGTGATAGAAACAGCATTCTGTCCCTGGAAAGGGGAGTGTGCCTTACCAAGCAACTGGGATTATGCTGTTGCTGTATGCCAAGAACAAGCAGGAAGCAACTGGTAAGGTGATCAGTAGGACCCCTAATAATTCTCAGTCTGCATCTAACCAGAGAGCTAGGCTTCATGTTCTTATTATTTATGATTATTTATTATTTAGAAATTATTTATGATGATTATTTATTACTTAGAAATGGAAAGAAAGCTACAACAGAGCTTTTTGTAGTTAAGTGTGTTGTGTCGACTCAGACTCATAGTGACCCTCTGCACAACAGAGCAAAACACTGTCCAGTCCTGAGCCATCCTCCCAGTTGTTGTTACACTTGATCCCATTGCTGCTGCCTCTCATTGGGGGTCTTGTTCTTTTGCATTGACCCTCCGCTTTATCAAGCACATATATCTTTCTCCAGGGTCTGGTCCCTCCTGATAATATGTTCGGAGTATGAGAGACAAAGTCTGGCCATCCTGGTTTCTAAGGAACATTCTGGCTATAGTTCTTTGAAGATGATTTGTTGGTTCTTCCGGAAGTCCAGGGTACTTTCTGTATTCTTCTCGAACACTGTGACTCAAATGCAGCAGCAGAGGAGTCCCAGAAATAGAAGCATGTAAGAGTATTCCCAATAATCTGATTAGCCCTCAGGGTATTTATTGATTACCATGGAACAAGACCCCTTAATGACTGAAAGATTGGCAGTTTGAGTCCACCCAGAGGTTCCTCTGAAGAAAGAGCTGGTTATCTAATTCTGAAAGATCAGCCACTCAAAACTATATTGACCACAGCACCCTAATGTATATGGGGTCACCTTAAGTTGGAATCAATGAGGTGACAACTGGTTTGAGTTTAGAATGAAACAGTAAAATGGAAGATGTGATATAATTCCTACTCTGAAATTGGAATGTGTAGAACTCAATAATGCATGCAACTGACATTAAGTATGAAGAGAAATTTAGAGATTTTACCATAGACTATATGACTTAAAGGAGCTCTGGTAGCGTAGTGGTTACGAATCAGGCTGTGAACCGCAAGGTCAGCAGTTCCAAACTACCAGCTGCTCCGTGGGAGGAAGATGAGGCTTTCTGCTCCCGTAAACATTTACAGCCTCAGAAACCCTGTTCAGTGTCGCTATGGGTTAGAACCGACTCAATGACACTTAACAACAACAACATATGACTTAAGCCGGGCTTTGATATAAATGTGTAGTTGGATTATGAGCGAGCTTTCCAAATAGGAAGTGAAATATAAACAAAGACACAAATCTGGGAAGAGTGAGTCTGATTGAAGGATTCCTGAAGGGACCATCCTAGCTAGGATTAGCTCTGAGCTAGAGGGTCAAAAGAACTAAGTGTCACTGACTCCCACCTGCCTTCAGAATCTGCTCTTTCATGAATCTGCTCTTAACATCTGCTAAATAAATACATCCTTGTTTGATTCTGTTCATCATGGTCTTAGAAGCATGCCTTAGCCATCTTTTCAGTCACCAGCATGCCTGAGAAATGGTCCTTCATCACTTGTTTCAGTGCCTGTTCTTCAGATGACGTGAGGCATACTCTTCCACTGGGCATCCCTTCCCATTGTCAGTTGCTTCCAGATATTGCGAACTTTTTTCCCCACATTTTTAGCCAAAAGATATCACCATTCAGTCAGCTTTTACCATTTCCCATAACTCTCAAGACTTAACACAGCAAATATAGAACAACTTATTGTGAGGACTCCACAAGTCAACTCTTTATGAGAAGCCTTCAGAAACACAATGAAAGTGAGCATGTTACCCCTTAGTCTCCTTCTGTGTAGGCCAGTGCTTCTCAAACATGAGTTTGCATCAGAAACCGCTAGAGGGCTGGTTAAGACACAGATTGCTGGGACCATCTCCTGGTTTCAATACATCTGGAGTGTAGCCTGAGATTTTTGTTTCTAAGAAGTTTCTAACAAGTCCCCAGATGATGTTGATGCTGCTGATCCAGCAGCTATACTTTGACTACCAAAGCTATCGTCTCACATTCTCCAGTTCCCTCAACTCTTTTGCATGTGGTTGATAGAACATTTGCCAGTAAGTAGAATGTCAGGACCCTCCCTAGAGATATTATTGTAATGATATCACGTGGTAATTAAAATCTCAGGCAACCAGCGTCCAAACCCTATCTGTACTCCCTTGCTTGTTGTGTGATCTTCAATGAGTTATTTAACCTCTTTGTGAATTGATTTCCCATCTGTAAAGTGTGAATAGTAATAGTGCCCTCCTGACAAAGTTCACGTGAGGATTAAATGAATTCGTGTAAATAAAGTTCTTATAAGCAGCCTTGGTGGCATAGTGATTAAGTACTTGACTGCTAACTGAAAGATCAGAAGTTCATTCCCATCAGCCACTCTGCAGGAGAAAGTTGTGACAGTCTGCTGTAGTGAAGATTTACAGCCTTGCAAACCACATGGGTCAGCTCTACTCCGTCCAGCTGTTGTAGTGTTTCTGAGGAGCAGCTGGTGGGTTTGAACTGCTGACCTGTGGGTCACCGTCCAGTGCTGATCCTATAGCTCCACACCAGGAGTCTAACTGTAAGTCAAAATCAGCTCAGTGGCAGTGGGTTTTTTAAAGTGCTTTACAACAGTTTCTGGCCACTGAAACAGCCCAATAAAATTTAGTTTCTATTATGGTGTGAGAAACATTGTCAATATCAACAAACACTCAAGAATCCAATCTGTACTCATTTTAGTGAGAGTGAGGTTTTCTTTATTCGATTTTTCAAAATTGGTACCCAACCCAGTAGACATGAGCAGACATGCCGCATGGCCAACCCGTACAGAGTTTTATTCCCCTCACTCGAAAAAGCCCCTCCTCCAGTTCCCCTTTTACTGGGTATTGTGGAGTTTACAGTCTACCCCAAACGTACCATTTTCCCTCCCCGCAGTTTCACAGTTTAGCCTGAATTGTGTACATGGCATGGCCTTTAATGACTGTATTCTTATTTAAAGTTCCTAGTCCTAAAACAGATTTATTTCCCCCCTCCCCCAGTTCATCCTGTTTGCATATCCCTGGGTGTGAATCAACAATCTATGTCTGGTCTAGCAATCTATTGCACCCTTTATTCCTAAAGATGGACCATCTTGAGAATTTCTCACAAATCTCCTCATTTCTCTTTACACTTATTGGTCTCATCTCCATTAATTCCTCTTAAATCCTCATAAAGTGTGTCATTTCTGGATGTTCCTAAGAGGAGAGCTAGCTATGCCTGTATTAGGTTGCTTCATACTTGAGCCTGACATGATATTACTTAAACATGTACTACCGAAAACGCACAGGCCCCATTTTCCTCTTATATCATGAATTAAAAAGCAAAAATATTTGATATACACATAAATGTCTAAAATCCAGTCTTCAGCCCGTAGGCACACAGCCTCATTCAGTCCATGGGCCTAGAGTCTATAGCTACTCCGTCTTTCCATGTCATATAAAAAAAATGTATTTTATTAAAAGTCTTGCAAAGTTTTGCCTCTCCTTGATTTATTAATGATTATAAAAGATTTCCCAACCCTAATATTTATTGCCTATATGACTTCAGGTACATTTATTAACCTTTGTGTCCCTCATATTCTTCTTGTAAAGGAAAGCACACAATAAATGTAATAAAACTATGGTAAATGTTTTCAAAATAGAAGTGTAAGAAAGAAAACAAAAATTACCATTGTACAATCCAAATAAGTATCATTATTGCTTTAGTGTATATTTTTCTACTCTTATCATCTATATCTCCTTTTTGACTAAGAAGCTCAGATTGTAATTCAAGTTTTTCAACCTATTTTTTTTTCCCACTTAGGGTTATATAATGAATATCTCCTCAGGTTATTTAAATTTCTCTGAAGTTATATTTTTAATGGCTACATAATAATTTGTCATAGAGCAAAATCATGGAGTCTGCTTAAAGTAGAAACGAGAAGTTTATTGAAGGGATAGAGCAATGCAGAAATCAGAGTAGTACAGAACAATCATCCAGCTGCAAAGTGCTCCAACTTCCTGGAGCTGAGAGGAGATTTGCAGTAAAAAGCAGGAGCTACTTAGCAGTATTCTGTTGATTGACCTTCCCTTGACTTGCCCAAATTTGTGTATACATAG